GGAGAGGGAAGGAGGGAGGGAGGGTGAGGGAGAGAAAGAGGAGGGGGGGGGGGAGGGGGGGGAGGAGGGAGCGATAGGAAGGGAACCAGCGAGGGAGAGCGAGGAAGATGCAAGTTTCTCCTCCACCTCTTGTTGTGCATGAAGGCTTCCGCCCAGTTTCTTGCTGGACCATCGAAGGCAGGGCGACTGCGAGTCGGTCTTGGCGGCTTCTCGAAGATTCTACTGATATGACCCTCCTTCCCCTCTGCTGCCTCCTGCCATCAAAGGGCATAAACAGAGATACCTCAGTCAGAGGAGCAAGAGCAAGAGCAAGAGCAAGAGCAGAAGCAGGAGCAGGAGGAAGAGGAGCAGGAGCAGGAGCAGGAGCAGGAGCAGGAGCAGGAGCAGGAGCAGGAGCAGGAGCAGGAGCAGGAGCAGGAGCAGGAGAGGGATGAAGGCTTGGGAAATGGGTGGAGAGGGAGGAAGAAGAAAGAGGAGGGCACGGAGAGGGAGCAATCGAGAAGGGGAAAAGGATTGTGATCGCACAGAAGAGTCGCTGGCTAGCGGCTTCCTGTTCCTCAGCATGAGGCTGTCTGCAGACGAGTGAGCCATGGTGGCGAGAGGAGAGGAGTTGAATCCTACCGTCCCACGGTCGTTCGACTTCCTCGAGCAACTCTCGAGCCTCTTCCTCCATCCCCGGATGAAGATCGCTGCCTGAACTTTGCGCTGTGAGATTCTTTCCATCAATGCCTCGCCTCTTTCTCAGCTGGTCTCCTGTGCTCATCCTCCCTCATCCACTCCTTCTGATCCTTCTCCTCCTCCTCCTCCTCCTCCACCTCCATGTCTCCGTGTCTTTGTCTGCGCCTCTGTGACTCTCCCTCCCTCCTCTCTGCTCCTCTGCTCCTCTGCTCCTGCTCCTGCTCCTGCTCCTGCTCCTGCTCCTGCTCCTGCTCCTGCTCCTGCTCCTGCTCCTGCTCCTGCTCCTGCTCCTGCTCCTGCTCCTGCTCCTGCTCCTGCTCCTGCTCCTGCTCCTGCTCCTGCTCCTGCTCCTGCTCCTGCTCCTGCTCCTGCTCCTGCTCCTGCTCCTGCTCCTGCTCCTGCTCCTGCTCCTGCTCCTGCTCCTGCCTTGCCATCTTCAGGTCTGCATACGAGATGCCGTGGCAGCTCTCCGACTGGAAACCGCGATGGTTGGCAAACCAGAGTTCGCTGCGATTCCGAAGTTCCGTGACTGCTTTGAGTAAAACTGAGTCAGTACGGTAGCTAGTACGCCCTGACACGGTTGCGGCAGCCTCCGAGTCGCCCTGGGCCAGGCTCGCCACCCTGCTAACCAACCTGCGTGCTCACCACCGGGCCTGCCGCGGGGCCCGGCATCCCGGGAGCCTGAGTCCAGTACCGAGTCTGGCAGTACTATGATTAATTTCAATGTGCCAGCTAAGCCACTTTGGATGCCACCCCGGGCCTGGGCCGGCTTGGCAATGCCAGGCCTGATGAGTCTGACTCGGCATGGCAGTATGGCAGGTCAGACCGGCGGTCACTGCGGGCCAGTACGGGCGAGCCTCAGTTTTCAAAGTTTACTAACTTAAAGACGGTTAAGGCTTGAATGGCACCCGGGACGACACACGGCAGTGTCACAGGGCGCCCGGCCCGGCCGCCCGGCCCGACTCGCCGTCGCGAGGTGGTAACTTCTGAAGGCCCCTGAAGCAGTGGTAGTTTAACTGGGTGATATTGGTAACTTGAATGGAGAGTTGGTAACTTATCAGGGATATCCCGCTAGAAGCTTCCATTCTTCTCTACAGTCGAAAAAAACATCACCCCACCCCCTCACCTTCGATGACCACCACCCCCATTATTCACAGAAGTCCACGTGGGCTCCAAAGCTTTCCATACACCGGTATATTTTTAGTTTAAAAACAGGGGTCATCTTCCCACTGGAGTACCCCCCAGGCACACCTACCCCTTTCCAACATACCCCTACCCTCAAGAATGAATGCATAGCCTCTCCTATTCGTCTGTTATGTCGGCCATGGCTGCCCCCGCTCCCGTTCCCGCTGCTCCGAATGGCGTGCAGGTCGCTTCCCCTCCCTCTCTTCATAACCTCCTCTCCTCCTCTCGTTCCTCTCCGCCGCCTTCTATCCCGCATGAGCCCCACGAGATGTTCGCATCATGTTTCTTCGTCGTTGGATGGTGCTCGAAAGCTTGAAACTGTGTAGTAGCTTGCGAAGTTTGATTGTTGACGTCAAGGCCGAGGAATAGCTTGATACAGAGTGCATGGAATGTTGTGTATGCTCAGATTGTATTCAGCACTTGCTGCAACTGTATCGAGCTACCTTGTTCAAGATGTCGCTTTTTCCTTCTCGGATTGTGACCGCTCCCCGGAATCCCGAAAGCAAAGTATGAGATGTACATCACAGATTTTGTCGGGATCTTGTGTTTGTTGTGTCATGCCTTATCATCATACATCAGAAGGAAGTGGGCCTGCATGCATCAACGCCTGATGCTGTTGGATCTCTGCCGTGTATGTGTTCCCTCCGGTCAGAAGGATTTCTTTGAAGGATTTCCAAGATGTCTCGATTGTTGTAAGATGACCAGGAGATGTCTTTTCAGTTCTTGAACAGAATTTTGTATCAAGTCAACACATGCCTTCCAACATTTCTTTCATCTTTGTCACTTCCACTCAATTACCAAACATTTGTTTGCGAGATTAGATGTCCCTCGTGTCTGACCGCAATGAGCAGATGTCCGATAACATGGCGCAACCACAGCAGCAGCAGCAGCAGCAGCAGCAACCACAGAAGGAAAGGCCGGCTGAGATCTATCAGAGTATCCCCATCCCCGCCGAGAGGGTAGGATGGATCATTGGAAAGCAGGGAGCATACATCCAAAACCTGGAAAAGCGATCAGGGTGCTCGATATCGGTGAGCGACAACCCTTGCAAGGAGTTTGGCAGGGAGTGGAACTACGTTCAGCTCCAGGGCTCCACTCGTAGCGTAGACAAGGCCAAGAAGCTGATCTACATGCGTCTAGAGAGTTTCCGGGCCACCTGAGAGACTCCGAGCTGGGGTAGCCTGATGATGCCCTCGGGGTCCCGTGGTGCCCCCAAACCTTGTAAAGTCTGGGGCAGTGCAGCGTCGCTCCTCGACTTATTGTTGTGGTATGAAGATGTCGCGGTAGAGCGAGGGCAGGACTGACCTGCTCTCATGGGGTCACACTAGATGTGGTCACGACCCATCTAGAAGCTTGGAAGCATTCAGGTGTAGGCTTTAGGAAACCATCTCTTCTACATGAATATATAGGTTTCTTGTCATGTCTTGCGTGCCGCCTGTGATTTGAGCGAGTCGAAATCGTTCGCCGGCCCGGAAATCCACTGGCTTGAAGCCTGGGACTAGCAGTCCACAACCTTCGCGAGGCTCGAGCTACCGCAGCAACGCAACTCTGCAGGTCGCGGTCAGGGCGGCGAACGCAACCGTCTCAACACGACTGGACGACAATGATTATCAGTAGCAACACCCATACATATGTTATCTCTGTGATACGACTCGACGGCAATGGTCACAAGTTTTGCACAAGAACAACAGTATGATTGGAGATAAAGGATGCCAGTGAGAACGACTTGTGTAACTAGAACAGTAGAACAAGAGATGTAAGGAGGAAAGCAGATGGCTGAGGGAGTGGAAATGAGATGAGATGGACCAGAGAAATCTCTCGTGATGACTTCAGGGGTGCTGCAGAGCCAAAATAATGAATGTAGGATACCGTCCCAGCCTCGTACAAGCCAAGGATACCGTCTTTTGAGATTGACCTCGTACAGATTTTACTTAACTTTGAGTAACTTTAAAGGTCAACCGGCAAACTTTCTGAAATTCGTCAAACTTGTGAGAGAAAAGAAAAAATCTAAAAATCCTGCGCGGGAGAATGCGGGGAGGGGGAAGCAGAGGGAGAGGAAGGGGCGAGGGGAAGAGCAGCAGCAGCATTGGAGGGAGAAGGAGGATAAGACGAGGAGAAGTAGAAAAACAACAAGTGTGAATATTAGCATGTGGGCAGCAGCAACGGTGTGAGTTCGGGAGGAATACTCAAGTAACTCGGTCTCTTCAGGTTCCTGCCTTAGGCGAAGATGTCCTTGTCCTCTCCCAGACAACTAGCGGGAGAGAGGAGAGAGAAAGGAGTCAAGACCATCCTTGGCGGCAGCTTGCTGCACCTGTCCCTCTCTCTGCAGAAACTTCCGGCATGTAGGACTCATGCGCTGCCTTCGCATGATGGCAGCATCCTCCTTCGCTCGGTCGGGTTCATGGATCCGAAGAACTTCGATGTCTCTTCTCTCCTGCGCCAACCAGACTACGACACCAGGCTTGCGAGCTCTGCCGTGAAAGAGCAGGAGGCAGAGGATACCAAGTCCTTCGCCTTCGATTATCTCGAGATGACGGGAGCTGTGGCTGAGCGACATGCTCGGGTGGCGAAGCTGCACACGGATAATTTCCTGAGGAGTGAGGCAGAGAGAGACTGGGAGGACGAGCGATCGATGCTGGTGGCTGTTGACCTGGGTAGCCTAGACTTGCAGAAGCCGGATAGCTTTGTGCTGCCGGCGTTTCAGCCGATCGCAGGCTTCACGGAGCGAGATCAGACAGCAGCAGAGGAGGGCAGCAGCCATCAGCGAGGAGGCGAGAGGAGGAGACGTTGGGACGGGCGTCAGCAGCAGCTCTCGGAGGTAGTGAAGGCCATCAACAGGAAGAAGTGGCGGGCCGAGAGCTTGTCCGAGCGAGACGAGCTGCAGCCGTTGAAGCTCCTATCAAGGATGACACGTGATGGCTCTGATGCCTCCTTCTCCTCCTCCAACCCGTCCTCACAGGGCTACAACACCAGCCTTGAGGATCCTTACCTCTCTCTTACCAGCCCGGGCTACAGCCCAGCAGCACCTCTGGAAGGATCACAAGGCCCCTCGGCGTCATCGAGGTACCTCGCCGATCTCTACCGCATGCTACACGCGCTGGTGGCACGAGACAAGGGGACGAGGGGCTTCATATGCCTCAAGGACCAGGTCTCGAGAGACGCCTGGCTGCTCCGAGGAGCCCTCGAGTTTCTATCTGCAGACTTCAAGGACCTGCTTCGAACGTCGCTGGACTGCTGGCAGGAAGGAGGGAAGAAGAAACTTGCCCAGCAGTTCGACGAGGAGGGTGAGAGCCCTGGCGCCTCCAAGACCGACCGCATGCTGGTCATCCATCATCTCCTCCGGTGGCACTCCAAGCAGAGAGACTCGCAGCTCGACGGCACGGAGGACGGCAAGTGTGTCCCCCTGTGGGCTGAAATCTTCTTCCTCATGCGATGTGGGGCTGCAGACGCAGCCGCGAGCATCTTGAACGACAACTCCCTCCAGCTGAGCTCCCCGCCGCAGAGGAGGCCGCATGCTCACGCGAGCTCCTCGGAGCATCAGGAGTTCGAGAGGGTGGTGAAACAGCTCTTCCGTCAGGCGCTGACGCAGTGGGCAGAGGGAGAGAAAGGAGACGAGGGTGTAGTCCATCGACTTTCCTTCTCCCCCTCCTTCTGCAAGGGCGACTTCCTGTGGGCTTGCAACATGCGGCTCACCCCGGAGAGCAGCAGCATGAAGCGCTTCGGCGGGCTGGTTGAGTCATTCTTGCGTCAGACGGAGAGCGACAAGTGGCATAACGTGGTGGTGAGCCTGCTGAACGACTCCGAGAACAACCCGGGGGAGATCCCGCGAAGCCACAAGGGAGAGAGCGAGTCAGCGAGGTTCAAGTGCGCCATCAACGACCTCCCTCCTCTCTTCGACGACGTCACTGAAAGGCTCTGCGATCACCTCCTCCTCGATAAGGCTGCCGACCGCCTGGCTCCTTCCTTCTTCCTCTACTCCAACCGATCCAACGGCAACCTCTTCCTCGATACCGCCGTGGTGGCTCAGAAGACGCTGTGGCGGCTTGTGCAGGACATGGTGTGGCGGCAGCTGGCGTTTGTCCGGCCTGATCCCCAGTTAAAGCCCTTGGGCCGCAACCACTCGAAGCACAAGTCGCAGGTGATGAGTGAGTCTGTGGGCTGGAAAGAGGCACTTACTTGCATCTCCTTCAGCTTCATCCGCTGTCTCTAGAGCACTGCCAGACGGAGGGGGTGAAGGCAGTCGTGGAGGGAGTGAGCAAGTGGCAGGGATGGACCTCGTTCAAGGTCTACGTCAAGGCCATCACGTCGGGACAAAATCTACCGGTGAAGTCGCGAGGCAGTCAAGAGATGAGGCTGACCCGTCGCTTGTCCGCAGGGAATTCACCCGCAGATTAAGACCATCGTGACCTACAACCTTGTCCAGATCCTCTTCCTCACCCTCCAGCTCGACAAGGGCCTCCTCGGTCTGTCCTCTCCATCCTCCCCTAGTCTGTCCCCTCCATTCAATCCTGGTCTACCTCCCCATACTCTTACTCTCTTGCTGACCTCCTCCTCCTCCTCCAACGGTGATGCTTGCTCGCGTCAGCTTGTCTCCCTCCCTCTCCCTCTCGCGTGGTCGCTGAGCTCTGCTGCTAGAGCTGTCCAAGCTCGGGGGCGAGCACGAAGTCGAGGCGGCGCACATCGGCATCGCCCTGCACTACTACGGGGCCCTCCAGGGCCTTGAGGAGCTGGATTACTGCGGTCAGCGGGGGGATGTGGGGGCGAAGAGGGACTCGAGGAGCCGAGCCGAGTCGTTTCTGCGATGTCTGGTGTCGAAGATGCTTCATGGCTTCTTCCTCCTTCCGCCCTCCTCCCCCGCCAGCTTCCTCCTCCTCCTCCAGCGCGCCCTCCACTACTGCTACGTCTTCCAGGTCGAGCACTTCTGGGGAGGGTGATCGATGAGAGGGATGGAGGGGAGGGACTGGAGGAGGAGTAGACATGCTGTCTGATAGCGTTGACGTACAGAACCCTGAAGAAGGCGAGAGCTTGCAGGGGAAGGAGGAAATGGCAGAGGAGTCAAGGCTCAACGAGAGCTGTCTCGCCCTGCTCACTCAGCTGTGCCTGCTCGCCCCCGTCCGGCCCCTCCATGACGCGTTCATGCTCGTGCTGGAGGATCTTGCTCCTGCCTCCTCCTCTCCTCCGGTTCGATGGTGCGAGGAGCCGATGGATCGGCTGATGCAGCAGCAGGTGAGGGCGCTGGGAGCCTCCGCATCTTCAGCTGGTCGTCGGAGAAAGCTCTTGATCGACCTCATGTACGAGGTCAGCCCTCGCTGTCCCCGTGAAGCTTTGCGTGCTGACGTCACTCGTTCGCTCCAGGCCAAAGTGAGAGCAGCGGAAGTGTGCTGCCTGCGAGGAGACCTGCTGCTGCACGACGCCGCACTTCTCTTCTACTGGGCTGAGCAGGAGGTGAGAAGAAGGGGAGGGGGAGGTGAGAGGGAAAACTCAAAAAGAGACGGTGAAGGAAATTTGCTGAAATATTGGAATCTCGCGATGACGAAGGGGAGGGGATCTATGAGAGAGGTGGGAGGGGGAGGAACGGGAGGAATGGGTGGTTGATGATAGAAGAGGAGGACAAGGAGGAAGTTGGCATAGCAAGAATGAGGAGGAAGAGGAGGACGTGGTGGCTGTGCTGCCGGGAAAAGCTGTATGGGAGGATCAGGAGAGGTCTGACGATGGGAGGGGAGCAGGGGGGGCTAAATGGAGGAGAAAAGAACTTCGAGAAGTTCCTGCTGACGATGACGGCGCTGGTCGATCAGTTTGCAGTAGAGGAAAGATGCTCTTCGCGCAAGGTAACGGAGAGGGCAAGGGGAGGGGAGGGATGACGAGGAGGGGAAGGGAGGGAGAGGAAGGATGAGAAGGGGAGGATCAGCAGAGACGAGAAGGAGGGAGCAGAGTGGAAGGGGGAGACGAGAAGGAGGTGAAAGGGGAGGGGGATGAGAAGGAGCTGATGGAATTTGTAGGCAAGATCGCGAGTGATGGACATCGCAAGCCGGCTGGTCGAGGGCATGTGGAGATACGGGAGGGGAGGATCAACGAACTTGTTGGAGGAGCAGGAGGAGGAGCAGGAGGGAGCAGGAGGGAGGAGGCAGGCTAGGGAAGTGATGCAGTGGCTGCGCGTCAACGGGCATGAAGAGAGAGCTCGGACGCTTCTGTCAGTCTTTCTCTACACGTGGCAGAGCGCCAAGGCCCAGGAGGTGACAAAGAGGAGGAGGAGGAGGAGGAAGGACGTGGTCGAAGCTAGGGGAGAGCAGCAGCAGCAGTAGCAGCAGCATCTGACGGATGTTTCTCGATCCTCAGGTTTACGCGTCTGGGTTGGCACTGGAGGCTCTGAGAGAACTTCTCGACCTCTCGCTGTCTAGCAGGTCTCCAGCTGCTGGTCGAGCTCTTCAGTTTGCGCCCAAGATACGAGAGCTTCTGCAATGCCTGCAGGAGGGAAACCCCGAGCTGTCGGGCAATATCTCCTTCCTCCCCTGCCTTCATCACGGTACGCCTGCTCCTCCTCTCCCTCCTCTGCTTCTCCCCTATACCTCCTTCTAGTACTCACCTTCATCTTCTCCCCCTCCTCTCCTCTTCTTCTCCTCCTGGTCTGACAGCTGCGGCCAGGGGTCAACGCAGAAAAGGCAATCCTGCAGGTGAGGCAGCAAGCGATTGGAGCGAAAATAAGCGAGAGGAGAGAGGGAGAGGAGGGGAATAAGGACGGAAGGAAGGAGGAGGGTTGTATGACTTGCACAATGTCAGGTACAGAAGATCGTTTCTAGCGAATCTTTCAAGACGAGGGCCCTGGGCAACAATTTGCCTGCGCAGAACCTCGTCGCTGATTCCATCCTCCTTGCCTTCCAGTGGTTCGTCAAAATTGCTTCCTCCTCTTCAACCTCCCCCACTCTTCCATTCCTCCTCCTCCTCTTTCTTCTGAACCACTCCCGTAGTTGGCTCGTTCTCTCGCTCCTCCTCTTCGTCCGCGACTGACTTTGTCTGCAGCTTCCTCTCCATCCAGTCCTCCCCTGCCTCCCAGCTTCATAGGAGCGACTCTTCTCTTTCCTCCTCTCAACTCTCCTTGGCCGACTACCCGCCTGCTTCTCTCGCCCAGGCAAGACCCCCTTATCCTCTCTCCCATCCTCACGCTGTCCTGTCAGATGTTTAGCCCCCCCAAGAGACACCTCTCCCAGGTTCCTTCTCCTCCTCCTCCGCCTCCCTCTCTCTTCGTCTTCCTCTCCTTCCTCGCTTCTTCTCTCCCTCCCCTTCCCCCCTCCCATGTTCCTCTCCCTCATCTGCCGCAGGTTGAGGGGCTGGCCGACATGAGCCAAGCAAGCAAGTGGTAACGATGAGACAAGGAGGAGGAAGGGACAAGTGAATCGTGACTTTGGCAGGGCGAGGACCAGCAATGAAGGAGAGCAGTTGAACTCGGGAATGCTGTCTGCACTCGTACTAGGTTAGCAAGAGAGGAGGAGGAGGAGGAGGAGCTGACGAATCAGCAGACGAGACTGAGCTGCTGCGATCGGTCAAGTGGCACTTGGAGGAGCTGGAGGTGAGGTGGACCCCTGCTGGGCTTGGACTGAAGAAGTCGCAGAGATGCGCCGAGCTGCTGGTCAAGAGAAATTTGTGCGCCAACGAGCTCGTCGTGAGGATGCGGACGATGAAGCAGCAGCAGAGGGTGTGAGAGGGGAGGAGGAGCAACAGAAATGAAACTCAAGCGAAAGAAAGATTCAAACCTTCACCCCTCTCTCTCCTTCTCACTTCCCCTCCCTCCTCTCTCTTCCTCTCTTCTCATCTCCCCGTGAAGTTCCTCGTCATGTCATCTGCTCGCTTGCCTGCCATCTCCTGTCAGTGTAGACCTCTCCTCCTCCTCCTCCTCCTCCTCCTCCTCCTCCTCCTCCTCCATCCTTCCTGCACCTGCTCCTCCTCCTCTTCCGTCCTTTCTCTTCTCTCTCTTCCTCCATCCTTTCTCTTCTCTCTCTTCCTCCATCCTCCTTGTGCTTACCGAGCTCCTTGCCTGTCTGTACGACAGTTTCTATCGCCTCCGCACTCTTCAGCTTCATCGCCTGCTGCACCTGCGCACAAAATCAGAAAACGAGAGAAAGGAGGAGGTGGAGGAGGAGGCCAAGGAGGAGGAGGAGGAGGAGGAGGAGGACAAGGAGGAGGAGGAGGAGGAGGAGGATCAGACGGGAGGGGAAAAGGGGGGGAGGGAACTGACCTTAGCTGTTTCCAGCTGCAACTTCAGCTGAGTCATCCGCCAGCTCATCGATGACAGGGTCTCACTCCAGCTGGGCAAATCCTCCTCAAGATTTCGACTTCCTTCCGGATAAACAGAAGGTTTCTCCTCCTCCTCCTCCTCCTCCTCCTCCTCCTCCTCCTCCTTCTCGGCCCCCGGCCCCGCTGCTCTCGAGGGAGCATGAACCACATCTGTCGGGGTGGTCACCAGCTGCCCAGCAAGTCAGGGGGAAGGAGGGAGAGAAGGTGAAAAGAAGAAGAAGACTAGAAAAAGATGATAGCGGAGGGAAGGAGGGGAGGAGGGGAGGAGAAAAAAAAGAGCAGGGGGAGGAGGAGAAGCCAACCATTTGAATGGTGGAGCACCTTTACGATCGGTATTAGCCCTCCAGCACCACAACAAGGAGGGGGCCCCTTCTTTGAGCATCTCTTAGGTTTCTTCAACTCCTTCTTCACCCCCCTCCTCGTTTTCCTCCCCCCAAGAGGGAGAAGAC